CAGTGGTACAATCTCAGCTCATTACAACCTCTGCCTCCCAGGCTCAAGCAATCCTTTCACCTCAGCCTACCAATTAGCTGGGATCACAGGTGTGTGCCACCACACCCAGCTAATTTTTTGTATTTTCTGTAGAGATGGGGTTTCATCATGTCACCGAGGTTGGTCTTGAAATCCTGAGCTCAAGCAATCCATCTGCTGTGGCCTCCCAAAGTTCTGGGATTATAGGCAAGAGCCACCGCATCTGGCCCAACTCTTGATTTATCAAAAGACTATTATTTACATGATATTTTTGTTCTTCCATTCACCCACTCATTCTTCCCTTCATTCATTCAACAAGCATTTACTGCATATTACTACATATGGAGGTAATATGCTAAAAGGCACTATTGCCATGCTGGGGAGTATGCCACTCTATTAGAGGAGGCAGTGTGGGAATAGCTGAGAAACCTCAGCCAGATAGACAATGTCATTATTAAATAAGCCCAGAAATACATACATAAGTTTAAAATATTAACAAATGCTATAAAGGACAAGTACAAATGTTTTAATAGCATACATCATGGGGATATGACCTAGATGGAGGAGCAAGCTAGGGGCATCCTCCCCAAAAAGGGACAACTTGAATTGAGAGCTGATGGGTGTGTGGGAGTTACCTGGACCATGGGGCTGGGCAGGGGCCATCCTGACATGGAAATGGAAGAAACATGTTGGATGCTTCTTGAGACCTGCCTCATTATGTGCTAGAGAGTTTATCAGAAAACTGTTCCAAAACTCTTGGTGGAGAAAAACATCATTTTCTCTCTAGACAAGAAAGAATTCAGAAACATGAAAAGCAAAAATCCTAAGTCAGATTCCAATGAAAGTGCTTGCTGAAGTCAAATTTTACCATTTTTTATTTTGCAAGTCTTCTTCCTGTGCAACACCTCTGACTCACTTTAACTTACACCTTGGGGAAGTCACTCGACTTCCTTGAGTCTCAGTTTTCTCATCCATAAAATATGAGGCTTGGGTTATATATATGATTTCTAAGGTCTCTCTCCTATTCAGCATTTGATGTTTCTAGAAATACACCTGAGTTAGTGGGGAGGGGAGGAGAGACCATGAATCCCACAACACACAGTTGTGGATATATTTAAAAAACAAAAATCAGTGTGGATTCATAGCACAAGGAAATGTTATAGGAACTGTAGCTTTGGAAATACAGGTTGGATGGAGCCAAAAATAGCTAATGCATCCACAGTTAATGCAGGGAAACTGCAATGAAGCGTTTCCTTGGCAATTGCCTTACTTAAAGGTAAAGTAACTCAGTTTGACAAAGACTGGTTTCTCTGCTTCTCATCTTCTCTGTGGGTTCTTTGATTATAATTCAGTGTGAAAGGAAAAAATGGTTGATAGATCAATTTCACTAAAAAAACAAAGGTCATCCAAAAATGTCAAGAATGGGGCAATCCGGTTGTATCCAAACAAGCAGATACTCTAATGGGAGAGGCATGCTCAGCTCTGTGCACCCTCGAGTGTCATGCCATGTCTTAGGATCACTTCTACCCTAAACTGCTTCCTATGGATCCCTCAAGCTCTTAAATCATCAACATCAGAATTTACAGGAATCTGACATCTGTCAATCTGAAAGTAAAGCCTTAGATTTCACACCAGAGTCAGCTCCTTCTAGAGAAGGAAAAAGGACAATAGCTGCGATTTCTTAGCATGCATAATCAATGCTGCAGGGGTTGCTAAGCAACAGCATAAAGGCTGTCAAACACCCCTGGGTGTCTCCAATGGAAGAGGAGCAAGCCCGGCAGCCACTCCACAGAGGTGAGAAACTGTGCAGTCCCCAGCAGCTACATTCAGTTGGTTTCATTCCTTTAAAAAATCCCTTCATTGTGGTTAGGGCTGAACCACAGACATTTGCTTCCCAGGCTCCTTTGGATAGTCTTTGAATAAACTTTCAATAGACCCAAAGCCCTAAAAATGAGCAGGTCAAGCTGACGAGTGGCAGCTCTGTGAAAGGTTCTTGGATTATTCTGATACAATTTACCCTGGAGCTTGTGGAAGGTCCAGCTAGACCCTTATGTGGCTGTAGCCTCTGAATCCCAGAGAGTTGAAATAAACATTCTCTTTGAAGCTTGAAATTATTCTAGCAAACATAAGCAAAACTTCTGATTTTAAAAAATTCATGTGTAAGGTCACTGACATGAGACATGAGACTTCTTAGGTTTGTGACTGTGAAGTTGAAATGAATTTTTGGTTTGCTGGCTCTTTGTTCTCCTTATTTGAGATGATAGATGATAGTTTCATTTGAATTTCAACAGGAATGAAACTAGCAAAGAGAAGAGTTGGAATATAACAAAGAATTAAATCCTTTTTTTTTTTCTTTTTTTAAGCAGTGTTGATTAAATAAACACTCATGATAGGTCATTACTTTGCAAATACTTGGCAAAGCCAGGATGTGTGTGAAAACTAGACCTTAGGTCTGGTTCAGAGGTGGAACTAGGGCAGTGATTGGGATATAAACCAGAGAAGGGCCTCACTGACAGTGGTTACGGGACATATGCCCAAACAAAAGCATGTCGTGGGCAGGAAAATGGAATGGCATAAGATGTCTTTTAAGGCCAGGCACGAGGCTAAACATTGCTGTCATCAGCTAACTCTTCCTTGTTAGTTTTCCAAGCCCTGAAGTCCTGTTTCAGCAAATGTCTGGAAGGAATGTAACACATAAGCTGAGGGTGCCCTGGATTCAGCTATGCAACACACTCTCCTTAAAGATATTGCAAGAAGTACAGAGAAGTAGGCACAGGACAAGAAGTGGTACTAAGAAGAAAGGCCATACCACTGAGAAATCTCTTGGCTCCATCTCTATATCTGGCTGAGGTTTCTCAGCTCTTCCTACACTGCCATCTAAGATTCCCTAGTCTCCCAGGATTTCTTTACATTCACAGAGTTCACCTTGTGACACCAGGAAGTGAATGCAGAGTCCGAAGGTCTGACTTAGCTTCCTGGTTGTCAGTAAAATATGTGGGCCCAGAACATGAATCTTACTTTTCCTTGTCAATAATGCATGGCTAGCCTAGGATTAGATGCTCCCAAAGATTCTTCCAGCTCTAATATGTGATCAAACTATGAATTTACAAAAATTGATACACATTTTGGTCTCATTTAACCAAAAGGGGAAAAAAAAGATACAGTAAGAAAAAGAAAGCAGAGACTGCAGATATAACACTGCCAAATATTCTGAACATTTTGTGCTAAACAATGACAAATAAAACTTTTTGAGTAAGTAAAATAAAAGAGGAAGTAATAGCAAAAGCAAGAATTAAACATCTCCAAAATGACTGGAAGATTCTCACTTTGCCACCTTCTACCCCATTCAACCTCACATCTCTCTAGGATCTCCTTCCTCTCCTCTCTCCTCTGCCTCTCTCTCTCTCTCTCTCTCTCTCTCTCTCTCTCTCTCTCTCTCTCTCTCTCTCCATTTGCCTATCTTGAGGGATGACGTTTATTTGAAAAATGTTTACATTTGTAATTCCTAGGAAGGCCTGTACTTTATTTACCCCAAAGTGCAGATTTCAGGAGTCTTCTCTAAGAGTTTAGGAGTATCATGCCACCTTGGTTAGTTTCTTTTGGTGACAAAGAAACAAATGTACAGTTTTTCTATTTGGATAACAGAAACCATTTTTTCTGCCAGAGGTCTTCGTGAATAATTTTATTTATCTTCTCAGCTGCCCATTATGTATATACTGAAACATTTTACTGTTAAGTATAACAGTAATGGAATAGACTCCTGATTTTCTGAAATGAAAAGTTGTCCTGGTTATAAGCAGTAAATAAATGCCATTTGTAAAAATGTTTCCTGTTTGGCAGAAATAAAGCACAGCAAATAACTCAAACACATTAAGTCAAGAACTTACATTTTATTACATTAGTCATGTCCATATTGATTCAAAACTTCATTCATTTTATAAATATACATCTTTTTAAGCATTGTATATATATATATATATGTATATATATATATATATTCTGGTGAGTTAAAAAATTTTTGAAAAAGTATATGTAAAATACCTGAAGCCTTTTGTGCTTTTTTTAATTCTTGTGTTTTAGAGAGCACAGTGGAAATTGTATCCTTTTCAATCATAATGCTTAGCTTATTGAAGACCAGGACTCCTTATTGAGTCTATGAGGACACGACTACAATGGAAGATTTTCAGTCTTCTTTTTTATAATTTTTTATCTTTAGTTTTATTTATTTATTTATTTAACTTCAGATGCACACTATATCTGGCACTTGTCCCCATGTTATCCCTCCCCACCCCGCGCTGTCTCTCCCCTATCCCCCACAACTGGCCCCAGTGTGTGATGCTCCTCTCCCTGAGTCCACGTGTTCTGATTGTTCAACACCCACCTATGAGTGAGAACCAGTCTTCTTTATTTTAGTAAGAACACCATGTCTCCTAGGGATGTGAATTCCACAAGAGATGCCATCCAGCCTGGGATTAAATCGTGCCTGTGCTATATAAAACCCTGGAGATTTGTACGCATGTGGGAGGGTCAAGGTAGAGAACTGAGTGGCACAGAGGCTGAGAGGGGAAGTAAATCCACAATCCTTCCTTCCAGAATCATGAAACTGACACAAGCTTCAGCTGAGCATGGCACAAGCACTGAACAATCTGAGGAGATAGATGAGTCTTCAGGACCCCACTGGCTGAATTCTGTTTTGCCCATGGACTTGCATCCAAAATTCAGTTAGCATGGATTTGGAAGAGAGGCTCAGAGCTCTTCACAGCCCGCAGACTTGTCAGTGGCCCCTGAGAAGGACTTCTTATGGCTGGATGTGCTCCAAATGTCCTTTCCACTAACCATTTAGTTTAAAGGAATTTGGATACATCTACCATAGCAGGAATGATTTACTCTTGCATTGGCCACCAAAATGTAATAAAATAGAGTTAAATTTCCACACACGAGTGTCATCATGGATAATGAGACATTCTGGAATGTTCTCTTACCTTCACTGCCACCAAGATCTTGTCCTGCTCAGGACAGAGGTTATAGCATTCAGCTAGGAACACTTTTCCAAAGGCTCCTTCGCCTAGCTCCCTTTTCAGAACAATGTTATGTCGCTTGATGTGCTGAACAACTGCAAAACAAAGACAGAATGGAAATTGGAATTGAAGCATGCGGAGGTGAAGGCGGCAGGTGGGGAGTCGGTGGCCTGCACCTGAGCTTCCAGGCCCAGAGTCTCTCCTCTGCACAAAATGAACCAAAAAAGCTGGGTGTCCATCTTCACAGTCCACCCCAAATGGCTGGGAGAAGGTTTCATCACCTTATTCTCCAGAACTCAATTATGGTTTCTGATAAAACTAAAGTAGGTACCTAGTTGGTGACTCCAAAATATCCAAGATAAACTTTATAGACTAAAAAGGGGGAGAAATGAGAAATTCACGTTAATGGCAGGCTTCTTATAAGCCAGATGCTTTGCATGTATTTGTTAGTAGTGTGTCCTGTGGGGCAAAGCAGAGAGATAGCTAACGATCCTGAATTCTTTGTTAAGCCATCTCAGATTCGTAAGGGAGACAGAGTCAGAGGATACAAAAGGAAAGTGCGAGATCTGTGCATTGTTAATTAAAGTTTGGCCTCACCTGAGTTTTGGCCTTCTAGTGGGGTGGGCTAAAACATGATTGGACCTCACTGACTTCCTTGGTTTGGGTCAGAAACATCTAGACGTCTGCACGAAAGACTAGCTTCCTTAGCCCTGTTCTAAAACTATGGTCCAATCTTGGCTCTCCAAGGCCACGAAGAGACCAAAACAGACGAATCCCAGGACAAGAGAATATTTTTCCCTACAGTTTGGATCAGAGCTGGCTCAAGTTACTCATGCATATGCCCCCATGGTGCACAAGGCAGGAGGCAATTAAGGATCCTAAGAAGCTCACTGGCTGCAAGGTGGAAACCAGAGGGGCAGCACACCCAAGGACAGAGCTCATGGAAGAGAGACTCACAAGGAGACCCTGCAGAGGAGGAAACTACATGCAAGCTGCACCTCCTCACTCAGCACATTAAATGTTGAGGCCCTTAGCACAGGAGTTCCACCGGGTCTTGACTTGTATTGTTTTCTGAACTGCTTGTTGCTACGTGGTACTGCATTAAAAAGAGATTGTGATGCCCTCTAGAGCTTGGAATGTGTGGCCAACTATATTCTCTCATTTCGTTCTCACAAGCCTGTGACATAATCCTCTCTGCATGTTACAAGTGGGAAAACAGTCTGCAGGAATTTTAAAGATTCACAGTCTGGGAATGGAATTGGGATTTGAAGCCGAGTCTGTAGGAATCCAGAGTTCATGTCTTTTCTTCTGCATTGCAAAGTCCCTTTTCAATTGTAAATTGTGTTAAACATGAGCAGAGACTTGATTTATATGAGAAATAGAGAAAAAAGTAAAAACAATTGCCAGGCTTCCTCTATGCTTAGTTCATCCTTCAAAACCCTGTTCAAATTCTTCCTCAAAGAGCTTTCCAGGACCATTTTGAGCACCAAAGACCTCTTTCTCTGAACTCACATTCTGCCCTGGCTTGTGCTCAGTTATATTCTGATGTATCCCCCAGTTGTTTCACATCTGTAAACTCCCAAGGCCAAGAGCAAGCCCTAAATATCTCCTGATGCCCCATGCAACTCAAAGTAGAGATTTGGTACTATGGTGTAATTTGATAACATTTTTTAAAAAGTTTTTAAAATTGATCGTGAACTGCATTATAAAAGCAACAGAAAATATAAACCATATTTCTGCAGTTTGATTTAAATGGCAGTAAATAATAATAATAAAATGGATACCTATGAATCCACCATCCCATTTAAGAAATAGAATACCACTAGTAACTTCGAAGCACCAATGTATTCTTTCCTGATTGTACCCACATTTCTACTCATCTCCCAGGGATAACTATCCTCTTGAATCTTGTCTTAATCATTTCCTTTATAAGTTTACTATCAGGGCTACCTCTCTAACAAGAGCTTGTTCAGCTTTGCCTGTTTTCGAACGTACATTAAATGGAGTCATACTGTACATATTCTTACAGATCTTGCATCTCTCACTCAACAGTGTCCTTGAGATTGGGTTGTATTGCGTGTATAAGTTGGAATTATTTCCCTTGTACCACTTTATCATATTCTATGGCAAGACTATACCACTGTTTATTTATGCCTTCTCTGTTGATGGACAGCTTGTTCAGTTTCTTTTTGGATACAACTTTATAGAAAATGCAAGTGGTAATTAAGATTTTGGTTTAATGAGATTTTTTTCCCCCTGATAATTCATGTGGTTCAGAGCTGTGAATACCTCCGTGAGTCTCTGGAAACTCAGGGTGATAAAATCAAAAGGTCTTTTTATGAGCAACAATATTGATGAATATAACAGCGTATATTAATTTCTCATGCTCCAGTAGCGATGCCTGAATTTAAGAGGCAAGAAATGTGTTCATTAGGTAGAGTGCCCATATAAAGACACAAATGTAATTCTTCCAGATAATTAGCTGCCCTGTTTAAATCTAATATTTAACTCCCTGGTTGTCACATGTTCATTGGGAATTAAATTCCCACTTGATTTACTTCTCACTCTAACCAGAGCAAGGCAAGTATTTTAGCTTTTTTTTTTTGCATTTGATTTACATACCCTCTATCTTTTCGTAGTCCAAGCAGGAGAAATATTTGGCGAAAAATAGGTTGTTAAAGCCAAAGCCACAATTTCATCATTTCCAAAACCAAAGTGATTAAACCAGTTTTCCCGTGTTGACATTGAACGTACTAAAGGTACCTCTTAAGCAAATGGGCTACTATATTTGCATTTATCTATTTGTTGTGCTTTGGGGCACTGATTATCTGAGCAGTGCCCTTTTGCCGATGTATTCTCTCTAGATGGAATAAATATCTTTTCTAAGACTGAGCTACTTAGGGGCACAGGCCACAATTTTGTATTTGTATTCCTGAAAGGGCCTCACAGTGCTATGCATACAATCAGTGCTTTATAAATATCTGTGGAAAAATATGTTTAATAATAATAACTACAGACAAATACTACTTGACTATGTCATTTGGGTTCATTGAGGACAACCCTTTTAAGCATGTAGGTGATAAAGTAGCTCAATTCTCTCAGATGGCAGGAGTGGGAAGAACATCTAATCTGAAGCTTCCACATCATTGAACTAAGAATGTCTTCCCATTCTCCTCTAAGAGGGCATCCAGACTTATCCTAACTTGCCCATTTTTCATTTCTCTACAACACCACAGGAAGTCCCTGGTTATCCAGACACTATCCTCCCAACGTGGCTTGTTCATGCCTCTTCACCTCCCCTGGACAGCCTTCCTCGGTGTGCTCTGAGCTCACTGTCTGCATGTGATTCCACAAGCTCCTTATTTCCTCAACTCTCCTTAAACATCCCTTTACCTCCCTGATTTAAATAAAATCTTGGCAATGAACCAAAGATGCCCAAGCCTCTCAATTGGATGCCATCTTCATCCCTCATCTGCAGGTACTTCAGGGCCTGCACACCTGATTATTCTGATCCTTTACTCCCTCTCCCACCTGCTAGAGCCCCAGCTGTCTTGAAGCTTCTATCTTAGGGAGCCATTAGCTTGCACCACCTCTGCTGACATCTTGGTTGCTCCTCTCACCCACTGAGCTCTGGGCCCACATTTTTCCTCACCACCCTACCAGTGTCTTCCTTCTTAGGGTCCAGGCTCAGAAGGGCTCAGTAACCTGCCTAAGCTTTAAAAACACTGGGCTGCCATTTCTCCTGCACCTTTCAACAGTGGAGCTAAGAGGCCATACATCCAAAGGTTTAATTTGGCTGACTGTATGACATTAGACTGACTTTTCCTGAGAGCAAGATTTTTTTTTAACGAAGGAAGCGATGCCCCGATTCACATTCTAGAAAGGCTCTATGGACATTTTTATATCCTGAGTGAGGCATGCCTAAGGATTCCATGATAAATAAGTTATCACATAAGCAAGCAGAATTCTCATATTCCTCCATTCTCTGTGATCAGCCAATTGGCTGCTCTTAACTTTGGAGACTTGAGCAAAATCATCTCAAACCCAACATGAACAACTGTAATAAAAAATAAATAAGAGGTCAGGTGCGGTGGGTCACACCTATAATCCCAGCACTTTCAGAGGCCGAGGCAGACAGATCACTTGAGATCAGGAGTTTGAGACCAGCCTGGCCAGCATGGTAAAACCCTGTCTCTATTAAAAATACAAGAATTAAATGGGCGTGGTGGTGTACATCTATAATCCCAGCTACTCGGGAGTCTCAGGCAGGAGAATTGCTTGAGCCAGGGAGATAGATGTTTCAGTGAGCTGAGATTGTGGCACTGCATTTTAGCCTGGGTGACAGAATGAGACTCTGTCTCAAAAAAAAAAAAAAAAAAAAGCTCAAACTCTACCATGAATGACTTCCTAGATTTGAAGGAAAACTCAAAACTATCACCAGTTTAAAAAAGTTTTATAGAAATTTTTTTTTTTTAAATTCACCCTGCCAAAGGAAAAGGAGAAATCAAATAAGAGCTGTAGAAAATACAGCACCAAACTGGTGTGATCTGCACCCTGTCTGGGCATCTCTGTCACTGATGGGATTTTTCAGAATAGAAATGTGGTGCCCTTGGTCATTTGTCCCATGAGTACCAGAAGTGAACTGACTTCCAGCTTTGTGTTAGTATCACATTAGAGTCCTGAAAAATGCATTTTATCACAACGTGTCTTTGGCAGTTGACATAGATGCTTGTAGTTTCAGGTTGCTTAAATCAAATTTCTGGTATAGATTCCTCCCAGAAGTACATATTCTATATATATATATACACAGGCAATAGATTAAAGCATCAATCCATGTCTATACCCATTGCTGTGAAATATAAAACCAATAAAAAATAAATATAACTTTATTCATTTAAGGTCTCAGATAGGAAATGTGTCTTTCCCATTTCCTCAATAATGAGGTTTCATAGAAACTCTTGGCCCAGTGGACATATTCTGCTAAACGGATGGACTTTCAACTGAGACATTTATTCAGTATCTAATATATGCAAAGGACAAAGCAACCTGCAGTTAAAAAGAGAGAAATCTTAAAGTTTTCAGTAGAAAGACAAAA